TGGGGTACCTCCCTTCCCCCGGCCTGCGTCAAGTCCCGCCGGCTCTGCAGCACCGTCTCGCTGGTCCCGATCGCCTGCAAATCACCCCAGACTCGCTGTGTGGCTCCGCCTTACCCCGGGCGAGCCCTGCCCCGTAGTCCCCGCCCAGGGGCGGGGCCCGGCCCGAGCAGGGTGGGAAAAGGCGGGGCGGGCGGGCGCAGGAGGCTGGCAGCTGTTGTTGAGGTGTCGGCGCGGGGCTCCTCCTTTCCTCTACTGTCCCCTGCTTCGGCAGGGCCCGGCTCTCAGCCCCGCCCGCTGCGCTGCGCTGCGCTGCGCTGCTGGCCCCGGCTGCGGGCTGCGCGGGAGTCCTCTGCGAGGGGCTGAGGGAGGGGAGCAAATAGGCCGCCCTTTGCCCCCTGCAGGTGCAGGAGATGCTGTGGCTTCCCTGTCCTGGGGGCCAAGGCTTTACGGCTGGGTTGCTACACTGAGTCGTTCGGGTCCTGGGTGACAAGCTGCAAACAGGCTTGTGTTATCCCCTTTCTCCTCTCCCCCAGGGGGCGCTTCTTTAATGTCTCCTCTCTTGCTCTCCTCTGCAACTGGCCTGTTGCCTCTTCCTGGTGTCCACGCAGAGAATGAACTATGGAAGGGAGCGGCATGTCCTCAGCAGCCTGTGAGGGGCTGGAGTCCCTTTCCTATCTGGACCTGATGTCCAAACACCCCCCAATAGAGTGCGTCTCTATTGATGACCCAGAGGTGGGGTGTCTTTCTCTTATTGAGGGGTGTCGGTTGTAGTTGTGTTGGTGTAAGGACATAGGCAGACAAGGTTCTTGGGTGAATCTGATATCTTTTATTAGATATCTAAATAAAAGATACCAGGTTCACCCAAAGAACCTTGTCTTTCTTTTATTGATGCCTCTGCTAGTAAGGGGCCACAGCTGTAACCACTTCATCTTTAGTGTGAAGAGCTCCCTCCTTTCCAAATCTTAGTTTCCTGCTTAGGAACAGATAATACAGCTTGTTTGCTCAATAGGAATAGTTCCCATTACCTGGCATATTTAACTTTTTGTCCTATTTGAGCTAGAAGTAATGATTGTGGCACAGTGAAATAGAAGTTTTCACACTACCTTTTTGGAATCTGCTTAGTCTAAAAAGGTTGCTTTGATTAGTATCTCATGGCGTCCTAAGCATCTTTAGTCTCCTGACTAACCAAAGGTGGTAACTTATAACTTCAAAGCCTTTCCTAGTCTGGTCTCCAAGCCTGTCTGCTATCTTGTAGCAGCAGGTCTTCTGCCGCAGGTTTTTTAGTGTCAGCAATTCTCAATCAGGGTGCTGCATAATACTAGCACGGTTAGGTGTGCCAAAACCCATGCATAATTTGCAGGTAAGTCTCCAAGACTTCAAATGGGAATCTATAGTGTTAAAAACATTCTGACCTGCCGTGGTCTTTCTGAGTTGTTTGCAACAGAAGAATTGCTCTAGTATTTTTCCATAGTCAAAAAGAGTGAAAGCTAAGAGCTGGCATTTTCTGAAGGGTGCCTTGAATCTAACAAGGTTGTGAGCCACTGCTTTAGGGAGTAGTCCATTCTGCAGGTTCATAGTGCTAATTATAGAGTGCTACTAAAACATTGGCAGTGTAGAAAATTGAATACCTCTTCTGCCCACCTGGGAAGCAACATTTAGTTCCTTCTCACTAGAAGAAACTAGTGAAGAAATGTAATTGGGGATACTTATATTTTAGCAGTCAAGGGTGGGAGATTTCTTGGGGATTGCGGAACATAAGGCAACTCGTCAAAGAGAAGTTTTTTTTGCAGCTGTTTCTGCAAAGAAGTTTAAGGGGTTTGTGACTTGGTAGTAGGGGCCATGTGGTCTTTATTTGCTGAATATGCTCATATGTCCTTCAAAACAGAAGTATAAACCATATAAGCAACCTAACTTTTAGATTCAATGCACAAGATGACCAGAAGATGGAAGCAGTGCAGTTTTGTAAAAGTTAGTTAACATGCTATTGGTAGATGAATGCTAGATGCTTGTAGAGAGGAAAATTTTTATTACTATTGTTTTTAAGACTCGGAATGAAAAGAGGTAGATGTTTTTGTTAGACAGCTTGGGAAAGGTATCATAATAAGGAGGATGCAAGTACTGAAGTTTTTCTCAGGTGTCTAGTTCAAGATGGAGTGGTGGAGAAAAGAGCAGGGAGATTGTGGGTTACTGTGTTTTATACTGCTATCTCTCAACAGGCCAAAAATGCAAAACAAATAAGCTTAACTAAATGTATAACTCTCTTTTATGAGCAGGCATGTCAACCTTTGAAAGTCTACTTGAGAGTGAGACCGTTCTCTAAGGCAGAACTTGAAAACAATGAATTTCAGGTTAGTTGCAGAGTCTGCTGACGACTAATTAAGTGTTTTGTGTGTGTGGTTTTTTTTTTTTTATGGGACAACACTGGCATCTCAGCCTTTTAACTATTTTTTAAAGGAAAAAAAGCTTCTGTCTAATGTAAATTTCCAAATTGTATTGTAATCCTCCGATAATTTTCTTCCTCAGCGTTGTCATCCTTTTTGAGGCATTTTTAAGCTGAAAAAATGTTACTCTTATTAAGGAAAATATGGAAATCAAACCAGAAGAGCTTATTAAGTGAGATATCTGTCCATAACTGCTTTGAATATTCCTGATGTCCTTCCCCCCTCCCCCCCCCCCCCTCTTAGTTTTAATAAATCAGGTAGACAGACATTAGGGCTGGAAGGGACCTTGCGAGATCATTGGGTCCAGCTCCCTTCCCAAGGGGCAGGAAGTCAGCTGGGGTCAAATGATCCCAGCAAGATAGGCATCCAAGTGTTTCTTAACTGTCCAGAGTAGGTTCTTGCACCACCTCTGGGGGGAATTTGTTCCAGGCCTTGGGGACTCAGACAGTAAAGACATTTTTCCTTATGTCCAGCCCAAAGCAGTCTTCCAGGAGTTTGTAACTGTTGGACCTTGTTTTCCCTTGGGGTGCCCTGGTGAACAGATGTCCTCTCAGTTTCTGATGTACACCCCTTATGTACTTATTAGGTTACTAAGTGCTTATTCATACTGCTGTGGCAGTAGACCCAGGTAGTGAGGGAGCTCAAGCCAATCCCACCCACCTGAGTGTTCAAACACACTCCAAACTGGAAAAGTATTGGCAAGGCTTCTGGGGGCTTATCCTTCACTGCCTGATCTCAAGCCCTGGATGGGGCAGAGATCTGGCACTGGGGATAAGTCTTCAACAGCTTTACTAGTGAACTTCTGAATCTGGAGTGTGCTTGTGTGCAAAGGACGTGCTCAAGTCCCCATGGAGACAGGATGTACCATTGCAGAGCTGTAGACAAGCCCTAGATAGAAGTGATGCTATCTGTTGCACACCCATTATACTTTTCCAGCTCATGGGGATAAATAGATGGACAATACCCTTCATGACCATCTAAGGAGAAACTTTTTCTGATCACAATGGCAGTAAAGTGCCACAATTGCAAGTGCTGAAATGGTTAAGTGTAATAAGCAATCTGTTGGGCTAAACCAAGTTCTGCAGGCTGTCTTCTGTTAAAACGGCAACTCGCTGAATACCTGACCATTACAAAAATTGTTTGTACAATCTTGAAAGCTGACAGAAAATATAAGAACCTGGCATCAATCAATTGTAAAACATAAGAAGTGAGGCTTTCTTGGTCTTTTTTGTATAATATTGAGCAAAAAAAAATATAAAAAAGCTAATTTTAAGCAGTTTAGCTGCCATGATTAGATTTAACTAAATTTGCGGGGGGGGGAATAGGTGTCTCAGTCTTCAAAACTTAGAGGGTAATTCCTTTCCTGAATTTATCTTTTTGTTTCTTTTCCTTTACTGTATGTTGCATTATTTGGTTGAATAAGTGAGGAAAATGCTAGGAACTTTGATCTTGTAGCAAGCTTTTTCTGCTGTACTGCTTTTTCTAGTACTGAGAAGTGATTGAATTAATCTTCTCAGTCCTTTGTCCTCCCTGCCATGCTTAATTTCTTACCAGGAAGTTTGATTTTAATAAGTCAAGCTTGTATTTAAAAAAAAAAAAAAAAAAAAATGCCTAACTTAAACTGTTTCTGCTCTAAATACAGTTGTGTCAATGAGCTGTTTCGGCAACAATTGGATTTAAATGCCTGTTCTATATAAGTAATCATCTTGGCAAACAAACGTGTTTTAAGTGTTCAATGCATCCTTCCAGAAAGTTTATTCGATCTTTTCCAATAAAGACCCAATACCCCTTTATAGGTCTTTAGGGGGATATATAGAGGAATAACTTTATAGGGGAATACCGTGTATGGTAGTTGGAAAGTTTATTAAGAAAATTTCATCAGTTTGTGACTAGATAGCAGCAGCAGTCAGTTTCACAATGGGAGGAAGAATCTCCTAAAGATTCCCCAAGCTCTCCTGTGGGAAATACAGGCATTGTATTTAGCAGATTTGAAAGACTGGCTGTAAATTGTTCCAGTTTCCCATTAGGGTTTGGGTGGGGGCAGACACTGGTGGTGATTTCAAGAAAGCTTATTTTAAAGAGGAGTTTTGCTGCCTTTGCTTTAGAACTGTGTAATAATTGAAAATCCAGAAACAGTAACTCTTCAGGCACCCAAGGAATCTTCTGCAATGAAGAACAGTGAAAAGGGGATTGGGCAGTCCATACACCGATTCACCTTCACTCGGGTAGGTTAACTTTCTTGCCTTATGTTCTAGCAGGAAAATGTTTTTGTGCCACAGGAAACCATAGTTGCAGTTTGTTCCTCCATTCAGTGAGGCAGTAAAAGTTTCTATAGTTAACATGACCTTTTGTCTTCATTACAAAACAAACTCCTGGCTTATTTGCAAAGTACATACTCCCAAATGCCTTTTAGATGAGACTTTGCAGTAATCCTATTGCTTTCTTTGATTATATACTTTTACACACAAGCTCCTTATACTCAATTCTATGATTTGTACTATTTCCTTATAACTACACAAGCTTACTGTGATCTTACTGTCCCTTTAGATCACAGCTGAATTATAGGTATCCTATTGGATTACAGGGATGCAGGTACTTAAAATGGTTATCTAAAAAGGTATATGTATAGGGACTTGCCTCTTTGCAGGTGAGAACGTAGCAGATTAATCACTTACCCTTACAAACTGGTGGTCTTTCATTAACCTCTCAAGTTAATGCAAAGTCCAATGATGACCACAGGGACTGCACTTCTCATGGCATCCAATATACATTTAAATAACTTAAATAAATATACACTTAAATAATTTGTTAAATATGAAGTTGTTTTACAGTCAATGTATTTCTGTACTGCTTTTGAATAATAAATTACTTCTACATCTGTAGGATTTGCTCCTCCCCTAGCACATAAACATGACTAATCCAAGTTTCTGGGAAAAGTATTCAATGGGCACTGACAGATGTGTAGTTCCCTGCTGTAACTCATCGTGCTTTACAGGAAGTGCCGTGAATTACAACTATCCCTAGAACTCAACAGGCATTCATTGTTGGATCCTGGGGATTGGGAGATAAGCTGCAGTTTAGAGCAGCTGCGTCTTTGTAGCTGCTCTCCCCCTAGCCCTGTCCTTCTGCCCACCAAGCCCCGGCAATGTCTTTGGAATGGGAAGCGGGGAAGGGAGTGGAGGGAACTTGTTCTGGGGGTTGCCCATCTGGCACTGGAGGGTGGGGTGAGTAGATTGGAGTGAAGATCTTATAATCTAAATAGAGCTTACCTCCAATTTTAAAACTGTTCTTACTTAAATTTTATGTTTTAATGGGGGGGGGGGAACTATAATAAGGGCAGTAGAGTGCTTTCAGTGGCCAATCACATGACAAACTGTCACGTCTGTCAGCACCACTCTCACATCTGTTGGTGCTCTATTTGTAGCTCATGTTCGTAGTTCTTAGCATCATGATTGTATTCTGAATAAAAGGCAAGCCTGTGTGCCCTCAGTTGCAAATATGTATGTGTTTTAAATAAGAAATTAAATATGTATGTGATTTAAATAAGAAGAAAAACCTGTGATGTTTATAAGGGGTACAAAAATATGAGAGACTTAGACTGCAGTCTGTTAATCTTGCTCTGAAAGATTGTTACCTTATTACTCAACACTGAATCGCCTATGCTAACATTCTTTGCACCGTTTATAATCTCACTTTTCAGCTATTCAAATACCATTTGAAAACTTCTCTTTCTTCCCCCCCCTGTATTTTTGTGTTAGGTTTTTGGACCAGAAACTACTCAAAGTGAATTTTTTGAAGGTACAATGAGAGAGATAGTAAAAACTTACATTGATGGAGTGAATGGACTGGTGTTTACTTATGGAGTTACTAATGCAGGCAAAACATTCACTATTCAAGGTATAGAATCCTTGCAAAGAAGCAGGGACAGTTTGAATAAAATCCACTGCATGTTTCGGTGTAAAGGTCTAATTATTTTTAATACGCTAACTTTCCTTGGCAGGATCCCCAAAAGAAGTTGGTATTTTGACCCGTTCTCTTGATATGATCTTTACCTGCATTAAAGGAAGACAGTACCTGAAGATGGACTTAAAACCACATCTAAGCAATAATATTAAGAAGCTGGAAGATGTACAAGTTAAACAAGAGGAAGCCATAAAAGCAGCCATTCTTGCTTCACTGAAAGAGGTCAGTAATCAAATACTTCCCCCTTACTTGCCTTAAAAATTTGCTTTAATTATAAATAAATAAAACCTTAGCACTTGGTCCTATAAGGAATTCTTTGTCTGCCTTATGCAGTTTCTACAACATGGAATGAGATGAGGTTTTACAAAATTAGGAGCAACAGGTCATGCTTCAAGCACAAGTTAATTATTTCCATGCAGACCTCCTGGCAACATGCTGTTGACATGGCAAGCAAAATGAAGCATCATAAAATAAGTTTGTAATCTGTTAACATTAAACTTTTGGAAGTTTCTTCTATCTTACCTTGTGCATCTCCAAACAACATCAAAAGAACCTTGGTTTCCCCTCTCCCCCTCTGCTCCCTGCTTTCTCAAATAGAAGCATGTGGTCACATTCACACTTGAATAGATTTGATCCATGAGTGGTTTTTAGTCTGGAAATGCATATGGAGCTTAAAGCAGGCTTCCCCCCACACACATGCACAAAAAATAATAATAATAAAAAAAAAAAAAAAATCAGTGCTTGTTCCAGTATGGCCAATAGAGTTCTTAATAGAAGCTTATGAAAAGAAAATGTTCAGAAGGGCATAAGCTATTGGGGAACTTTAAAAGTTCCTAGTACATCCAGGGCCAAATCCTATTTTACTCTGTTTGGGTAAGTGATACAGTAATGTTTTAACTGTGTCAAACTTAAGAGTAATTGTGCAGGCCTATATTAAATAAAGCTTGAAAAGACAGCAGTTGGGTAAACAAGGCCAATAGTTAACGAGCCAGTTAGTAAAACCATGTCATTCTGATTACTGGGGACATACTGTTCTAGAGGCATAAACAAGCAAAATGTAATTATGTCAAAGCAGTGTGGTCACTTTAACGGTATGTCACCAACTTGGATGTAATGCATATATAATTTTCTTAAGGAGACAGAAAATATTTTGAATTCTCCTACAACTCTGAGTGCTTCGTCAAGCATCTATGATCTGACCTCAACTAGCAACTGTACTTCACCAGGTCTACTTTCTGACCCACGAGGTAAAAAGCTTTGAATTCACATGGTAGAGATGAAGGTGACTACCTAAATTATTTAGGAATGAAAGCAGAAAACTTAATTTGCTTTAAATACTCTAAAAATTGCCAATAGTACAAAACCAAAAATCTGTTTCTCAACTCATTTCAACCTGTAAAATGCTGGAGCAGATTAAGAATATAGAAATGCTCTTCAGTAATTTTGCCACGCTTTTTTGTAGTGGCTTAGTTTTGCAAGGTTACAGTGAGGTCCTGTTCCTGTCCCTCTGCAAGAAAGACTTTTTAGCAGGAAGGGAAATGATTCTTTTCCTCACTTAAGGTAGGTCTGTCTGTGTCTGTCTGTGTCTGTCTGTGTCTGTCTGTGTCTGTCTGTGTCTGTCTGTGTCTGTCTGTGTCTGTCTGTGTCTGTCTGTGTCTGTCTGTCTGTGTCTGTCTGTCTGTGTGTCTGTCTGTGTCTGTCTGTGTCTGTCTGTGTCTGTCTGTGTCTGTCTGTGTCTGTCTGTGTCTGTCTGTGTCTGTCTGTGTCTGTCTGTGTCTGTCTGTGTCTGTCTGTGTCTGTCTGTGTCTGTCTGTGTCTGTCTGTGTCTGTCTGTGTCTGTCTGTGTCTGTCTGTGTCTGTCTGTGTCTGTCTGTGTCTGTCTGTGTCTGTCTGTGTCTGTCTGTGTCTGTCTGTGTCTGTCTGTGTCTGTCTGTGTCTGTCTGTGTCTGTCTGTGTCTGTCTGTGTCTGTCTGTGTCTGTCTGTGTCTGTCTGTGTCTGTCTGTGTCTGTCTGTGTCTGTCTGTGTCTGTCTGTGTCTGTCTGTGTCTGTCTGTGTCTGTCTGTGTCTGTCTGTGTCTGTCTGTGTCTGTCTGTGTCTGTCTGTGTCTGTCTGTGTCTGTCTGTGTCTGTCTGTGTCTGTCTGTGTCTGTCTGTGTCTGTCTGTGTCTGTCTGTGTCTGTCTGTGTCTGTCTGTGTCTGTCTGTGTCTGTCTGTGTCTGTCTGTGTCTGTCTGTGTCTGTCTGTGTCTGTCTGTGTCTGTCTGTGTCTGTCTGTGTCTGTCTGTGTCTGTCTGTGTCTGTCTGTGTCTGTCTGTGTCTGTCTGTGTCTGTCTGTGTCTGTCTGTGTCTGTCTGTGTCTGTCTGTGTCTGTCTGTGTCTGTCTGTGTCTGTCTGTGTCTGTCTGTGTCTGTCTGTGTCTGTCTGTGTCTGTCTGTGTCTGTCTGTGTCTGTCTGTGTCTGTCTGTGTCTGTCTGTGTCTGTCTGTGTCTGTCTGTGTCTGTCTGTGTCTGTCTGTGTCTGTCTGTGTCTGTCTGTGTCTGTCTGTGTCTGTCTGTGTCTGTCTGTGTCTGTCTGTGTCTGTCTGTGTCTGTCTGTGTCTGTCTGTGTCTGTCTGTGTCTGTCTGTCTGTGTCTGTCTGTGTCTGTCTGTCTGTGTCTGTCTGTCTGTCTGTGTGTGTCTGTGTCTGTCTGTGTGTGTCTGTCTGTCTGTGTCTGTCTCTGTCTTAAACAGGGTGCCACTCAATTTCCAAAAATAACGAAGGGTTGGTTTGAAAAGGTTGAGAGCCACTGCTTTAGGGCAGGGGTAGGCAACATACAGCTCTCAAGCCAGATGAATCCTGCAGTGCCACTGGATTTGATCTGCAGACTTGGAGGGCTTTGCTTGTTTGCTTCCAGCTGCCACATCTCCCTGTCCTCCTGGTTCTACTGCAGCATAGGCTGGGCTCTTTCAGCAGTGCATCAGTAATGTGGGGTTTTGCCTGCATATTTGCTGGGGCCAGGTAGCTGGGAGCTGTTCCTGTACCAATGCCTTTTCCCTGTTCCACAGCGGGGCATCGGTGCAGCTCCCAGCCTTTGGGGAGCTCTGCTGGAGACTGGAATTGCAAATTGCATTTGTGCTGCCACGACTTCCCCTACCCTTCCACCCCCAACTGTGGCATGGGTGCAACTTCCAGCCATTGGGGAGCTGTGTGGGGGTTGAGCAGCTTCCAGTTGTCCTGTGTCATGCATGGGAGGGGTGAGTGGGGAGAAGTGGCAGCAGCACAGACAGTTTGCAGGTATCTGGTCCCAGTGCAGCTCCCCACTGGCCGGAATCTGTGTTCATGCTTCCTCTATGAAGCCTATACTGCGGCTGGGGAGCAGGGGGCTAGGAGAAGCAGCGCCCAGCTGCCAGGTCCCAGCGCAGGGCAAAGAAAGCCCTCCTGTTGCTGATGTGCTGCCAAAGTAACCTGTCCTGTGTTGGACCAGAGCTGAGTTGTTCTGGGCCAAGGCTTGTAAAAGGTTGCCAGCCCCTGCTCTAGGGCACAGGTATATTCTCACCTGAGTTCATGTTGAAGGTGGCCATGGAATTTGCGGGCCAAACTTAATACACTTGCATCTTTTGTGACTTTTTTTTTTTGTTGTAGTGTACAAATGTGCACAAAACTCTGTCTAAAATGGGCACATTATACTATTTTGCTTACAGAGACTGTTGAACAATTTAAGATTTCTCAAAGTGCTTGGGTAATTGCTGTCATACTTTGTCTTATGGTTAACAGAGGAGAAATCTCTAACTACTGGAACAGACTTGAATCACAAAACACAGTCATCTGTTTGGGTTTCCTTCTGTGAAATTTATAATGAATATGTATATGATCTTTTGGACACATTATCTACATCAAAAAATCAAAAACGCAGAATTCTAAGAATCTGTGAGGATCAAGGAGGAAACTCTTATATAAAAGGTAGTAATATGACTTTCATGATACTAAGTGACCCTACCTCTTTACTGAATTGATATATTTGTTTAAAAAAGAAATTCTCCCTGCAGATTTAAAGTGGATCAACATTAAAAGCACTGAAGAGGCCTGTAAAATACTGAAAATAGGAAACAAGAACCGAAGCTTGGCTTTTACTAGAATGAACCAGTATTCAAGTAGAAGGTTTGCTACTTCTAACCGTAGAATCACTGTTGTTGTTGTTTGTTCAATTAAAAAGAAAAATTGTAGCACTACAAAAACATCTCTAAAATGAACAATTGTTAAGCAGACCTGAAGTAATTTTACTGTCAGTGTATTGTCCTGTCCCTAATTTCCCTTTCAGGGGAGACTTGAAAAAAAGTTCAAGCAAAGCAGTATGACAATAACTGGAATTCAGGTTTACTTGAACTTTTAAACTTGTTGTGGAAGTTACATTAGCATCTCTTGTTGACCAGTTTAAAACAGTTCAGTCAGTTGTCAGTTCAGCCACCTATCTATGTACTTGCTTTGATTTAAAGTGGTGAAAAGGTAGCAGTTCTTGGCAAGGATAAATGAAGTTGAATGTGGAAAGTCTTTGTTTTAGTGTGAGTGGTCCCAGAAACATAATATTTAAAATAAGTAATTGTCCAGTTTGGAGTTTCTAAAGCTTCTTCTGTTCAAAAGTTTATACTTTCTTTTTTTGAATAGGTCCTCTTTTTACCCTCAACTACCTCCTAATAGTTGTATGGTGTTTTAATCCAGTAGACACTGTCCAGTTTTCCTTCAATAGAAGACTGTGCAGTCAGCTGCTTTAGCAGACTTTCCTACCTAGAACTCATGCTGATGCCCTAAAACAGTGGCTTTCTGTAGACTAAAGGCATACCTCCACAACTTGTGAATTGAGCAGCACCCCATTTCAAACACTAATTTTATTATGGCTCTTGCTTCCTTGCAGTAGGGGTAGGGGAGTGGCCAGGCAAGGTTGACTCTGAACCTGTGCTTATCTGCTTATCTCCACACTTTTTTGGCATCTACGAAGAATCTTGTTCCACTCCACATCACTCTGGTTGAGAGTCACTGCCCTAGGGAATGCGCTATTTCCAGCTAACTTTGATAGCAAGTCATGGACTTTAATAAACAAGTCTTGCCCTGCTAGGATCGTCTCTGCATGTATGGGGCCTGGGTGTGAAGAAGCCGGCGGCGGAGTTGGTGTTGGTGGGGGGCGGGTTACAAGTGGCCGAATGCAAAGGCGGCAGCGCAGAGTCACCAGCACTAGGCGGGCCTTGCAGGAGGGGCTAGGGTCTTAGCTGCTCCGCCTAGCTCTGCGAGGCCTGGGGCAGTTGCCCTGATTTGCACCCCCACACGCATGGCCCTACTTGCATGCATTATAGTTTAAGTTCTCTAGTACCTTTACTTCAGTGTTGGAGACCTAGCTGGGATGCTTACTCTGTACAGTAGAAATAACTACAAGAGGTTTGATTCATTCTTGGATGTGTCCTAAGGGAGCTGATTTCAAATTGCTTATGTTCATTGTGGCTTGGTCCTAACATCAATTTTAACATAACATTAAAATGTAATTGCGACTAGGAAAAACTGTTCAGTTTACAAGGTTCCTATAAATATCTAGAGTACCTAGCTAATTCCTTTTTTCTAAATCTCCTGTTCAGCATCCTCCTTTTTAGGGTGTCAGTACTTCAAATTCATGGTCCAGTTCTCTCTGAAATCCTTGCTTAAGTGATTCTTTGTAGATTCATGCTTGGATCAATAGATAACTACTTGGGCCCATCAGCTCGCATCTTTCCCTCCTGAAACAGCTAACTCAATTTACCATTTAATTCTTAGTCTTCAAGTAAGTTTTTGTTTTTTGTTTTCCACTTGTTTTTAAAAAAAGGTGTATGGATCATACAACATGACACTTGGCTGTGCAAATTTAATGTGGGTGTATAAGTTTCACTTTGTCTTGAAGTTTTTTTGCAATGCACAAATAACCACTCAATCTATAAAAGCAAATTATTTGCTAGATCTTAAGAGCTCTAATTAAAAGGCAAATTATTGCTAATGAGAACCATTTTTTCTCTCTTCCCTCCCCCCCCCCCCCCCCCCCCCCCCCTCCCCCCCCATCAGTTT